TATCTTAAGTAATGTTTCACAAAAAAAAAAAAAAAAAAAAAAAAAAAAACAGAAAAAAAAAATGTTATCCTTTTAGACCTGTTTTCTCATCCAAATTATATTTGCCTCATTTTTTCCTCATTTTAGAAAATTAAAAGGCTTTCCTTTTTTTTGTATATTTCAGATGCAAAAGGTATTGTTCAATCTTCTATATTTGTTTTGTTTTATGTGTATGTGTTTCCCCCTCTTTATTTGAACTTCCTAGTTTTTTAGTAGATCACTCCTTAATCTTTTTTTTCTTTATATTTTATAGATTCCCAATAGCAGCACAATCTTCTTTGTTAACTGTGCTGTACGTTTGTATCTCTGTTTCAAAGTTCCTTTGGTCATCACAGTTTATAAATCACTAGATTCGCTGTGACATAAACAAATTGACAGGCCAAGGAGTCCTGAACTTTATTTGAAAGACAATGATTCAGCAGACACACATGGATCAATATCTGAAGAAATATTAGTTTATAAGAGCTTAAATCTCATATTGATTGTTCTCATAGATGCTATATTTACTCATCTACACACCAATACATACTCTGAATTGAAGTATTTATAGTGAAATTATATATTTTCCAATTAATCCGAGACTCATTCATTTATTGAACATTGAAATTATGAACAATGTGTGTACGTGTGTGTGTGTATATGTCTGTGTGTGTGTCTATCCAAAGAGGCCAGAAGGAGACAGACGGTTCTACAATCATAGCATTTTTTTCCTAAGTAAAAAAATTAAGGTGTCTCTTGTCTTTTGTAATTTACAATGTAAATGAACTAGGTAACACATTATTTTATGACTAACGAAGAAGTTGCTTTCACATGTTCTTAGCAAATTAAACACTATATATACATGTGGTTATATTCAATCTCAACCCTTTTATACAGTTGCACAATTTTCCATTGTGAGAAAAACATGTTAATACACAAATTATCAAATATTATTATTATATTACTAAAATATTTTTTACTTTAAGACATTTGCAAATTCTCACAACATGTTGGAAATATTTCTTCTTTCCTACACGTGACACTAAATTTGAATAGTGTTGGCCTACAGCAATGTGTAACTGCTAGAATAGTTTTGAATATACTCACTCAAATTGAAAAACCCTCGATTTTTTATATTCATTCTTCAGATTACTTGATTCAAAGATCTCATCTATCTAAAAAGATTAAAAAAATGTGTTAAATTAAATATTTCAACATGAATACAGAAAATAGGTACTACATTTGTTTAGAACTGACAAAATCTTCATAATGGGGTCTTCATTCACTTATGAGTCATTTATGTGACATCTATTTCTTGATAATTTTAGAGGAAGAGAATATTGTCTTTGAATCAATTGAAAAGAAGTTAAAAAAAAACTTATGAAATTTTAAACTTGTTGTGTAGAAACAATCCCCTACCATTTGCTGAAGGTCAAAGGCAAGAACTTTGAAATCCGTTGAGAATCTATCTTGTAAATTAGGAGTATATGTCATTCCAGATGTTATTTTAAATGTCCCTCTGACTTCATGAGTTTTTCCACGGGCTGCATCTAGATGAATTAATAAGAAACAAGGCACCCAAGTATGAATAGAATCCTGGTTTATTATGTAGATGCAACAATTCCCATTTAATGTATTTTCCCTATAATTATTCAACTCTTGCTTTTTTCCTTATTGTCATTCTTTTTCAAAACTAAATGTTCCTATCTTTTTATTGTCATCTGTCTGGTTGTTTTAGAACACTAAAAAATCATAGGCTTATTTTCTCTTCATTGTTTTCTTCCTCTTTTCTTTGAAGTCCAGCCATACTTTATTTTTTATTTATTTTTAAATTGAGATTCCCATTGGAAATCACAGGGAATAATCAGACTCTACCAATTATAGGAAGTGATTTAGGAAAACACAGTGAGAAATGAACCATTAACATTGTGTAGCTCCTGCTAGATGTTTCCTGGACCCCAGGCCTCCAGGACACTGCTGGCTTCCTGCATGGGAGTTTCTATGAAAATTTCTGTACATGGGTAACTTTGAAGCCACTTCTAACAGCCTAGCAGTTATAAATTTGGCATGTGTGACTTTTGGCATGAGACGGGAACTGTCTACTTTGGACATGTTATTAACAATGAGTAGAAAATACACTGTCTTAGGAAATTCTATAAGATGTAATAAACAAATTAAACAATCTTATCAGAATATTTTTGATACATATTTATATTAAAATGGATAGCTTTGGCTTAAACATACAAAAAGATAAAACCATTAGTAAAAGCAATAATAACAGTACATAATTATCACAGTGACATGGTATAAAAAGTTTTTTTTTTCCATTCCTACAGCAGAAAAAATGAGGGCTTAGAATGACATAACATCCTAGGATAGTAGAGATAATTTGCCCACATACAATTCATCACTTTAAAGCATAAATTTTTATCAAAAAAGAGACGATGTCTACTACCCAGGTTATTGTGATGATTCAGATTTATTTATTTATCTTATAAGTGAAGAGGTATTTATTAGGAGTAAACTCTTAGAGCTGAGGTACAGTTTGGAAGCTGATGTCTTTAATGCACCAAATGTTGCCAACGTTTGTTGCAAGCTGGTTCTCAGTTTTTTCCAGATTCATAACCTGAACAATGCAGTTCCAATAACAATGGAGTAAATGACATTTTATAACATGGTGTTACATTTTAAATCAAATATTCTATATAACAAAATTGAGAAGCAATAAGATAAGAAAAATTTAAACATTATTGAGTAGAACTCTTAGTATGAGCACATACTAATACACTCCTCAAACAGATTGAAATCCTCATATATCTACTTTTATGTACTTGAACTTGAATAGTCTATGGTATTTTAATATGTTTATGACTTTATTTTTCATCAAAATGAATCTACATGCTATGAAATTTACTGTATTATGTGCTGCAATAATAACTGAACATTATTTTAAGAAAAAAAATAGAATACACTGTCTCCATGCTTGAATTTAGGATTATTTAAATGACATACCAATAATATGCTCTGAAGTGCTCAGAACCATCTAAATGAAACAAAACATCTGTGGTGCAGCTAAAATAATGAATAAAATACAGCAAAGGCTGACTTAGAACACATTCCTTGTTCCAGTGCAAAACTTACCTGTTTCTGATTCCTTGATTGCCAGCCAGGACACTGCAATTAACCCAGCAGAGAGGACCATGAGCATAATGAAGAGAGCTGAGAGCATCGCTTCCAAAGAGCTGATAGACTGATGTCCTGCTGCAACATTTCTGTTTGACTTCATTTTTGATTGTTGAAAGATGGATAACTTAGAAACTGTGAGAGAATATAGTTTTCCACATCAATAAAACACTCTAATATTAACAGGAGAGAAAAATCTCTCAAGGATTTTGAAAGGCACCAAGCATTCAAGTTACTGATTTGGCAGCCTTCAGCGTGAATGTGCTGCATACGTCCGTCTGGAAGTAGTATATCTCTATACACTAAGTGTCTTTAAAAGGAGCAGCTAATCTTTAAGACAATATGGTGACTAAAGATGCCTAGAGTTGTAAATTGCAATCATCGGAATAGGTCACTTGTCAGTGTGAGAAAAGTTAAATGCATCCCATAACCAAAAATGCTGACCCTTAATTCCTTGAGAGCTATTTAAAAACATGAAAATGATGATAAACAAATTGATCATTAGGGAAATGCACTTAGTATCTGTAGGAGTGTTCCTAACACATCGACCTTCTGCCCTGTGACTCAGGTCTTCATTGTAAGCGTTTCTCTACAGAAAGGTAAAAACTTCTAAACTACAACACACATTGAAGTATAGTACAGAGGTACAGAATCTTACTATATCCCACCCTCCATTTCTCCCTTCCTATGTTCCTCCCTATCTTCCTCTTATGTGTATGCACGTGTTCGTAGATATCTAATTGAAACAAGCAAAGTCTTGTGAATGGCATGGTTGCCACTTTTCAGGTTATGCAATCTAAGGCAGTATTGATTGAGCTTGAAGGAAAGTCCACTTAAGCATCACGTGGCTACTCTCTATGACTCGAGTGACTATCAGTACCTGGGGCTAATCACTCTGAGAAAAACAGTATTGGTTTCTATTTTAAAATATTCTGTTTTTTAAATTTAAATTTTATCTTTTATATTAATTACAGTTTACTTACTTTGTATCCCAGCCATAGGCCCCTCCCTCATTTCCTCCCAATCCCTCCCTCCTCCCTCATCTTCTCCCTGTCCTTCTCCAGTTCCACTGATAGGGGAGGACCTCCTCCCCTTCTATTTGACCCTAGCCTATCAGGTCTCATCAGGACTGGCAGCAATGTCTTCCTCTGTGGCCTGGTAATGTTGTTCCCCCCTCAAGGGGTCTGGAATTAAATAGCCAGCCACTGAGTTAAAAAAATTATTCTAGACAGAAAAAACCTTGCTCACTTTTTCTATTTCCTTATAACCTTAATGTGTCAATAAAACAGGAGACCAGGTTAAGAAATCCATAGTGATAACTCTATACCTGTGTTTTCCTGGAAAAAGGAGACTTTTCTTTTCGTTAGAGTGGAGCGTACAGTTGGAACTTTCTTAATATGAATAGTAATGAGTCCAGGCTATAAACCAATCAATCAATTATATGATCAATATTTAATATATAATAAAATCAGTATTTAATATATTTTGGAGTAAGCCATATTCTTTTTATTTTGATGGATAATATTTATTTATTATTTTGATGGATAATATTTGATGGATAATATTTATTTATTATTTTGATGGATAATATTTATTTTGATGGATAATATTGAATTGAGCTCTATTACAAGTATCAAAACCACAAATAAAATATAAAACAAAATCCAAAGGGCTATATTTAGGTTCAGAAATAATGCAAAAGTTGAGATTACAATGCTTTTCACATGATAAGTAGCTTCTCTTAGTGTGTAATAAATACATGGTAGAATATCTTGTTAAAGACAATCATATATGGAGAACAGTCTGAAATTAAATAAACCAGTGGATGTGGGAAGCAATATATCATTTTTTTAAATGTGTAAAGCAAGCTATTAAAAGAGAATCAGAGTTGCCCTATCAGGTAACAAACTCATTGCAGAGTTTTAATAATGGAAGTGTAGATTCAGTCAAGGAGCAGAAATACAACTCACTGTAGAACAAAGAACCCAAACTTGATTTATGGAACAAACTTTATTTGTGCATGAAACACTATACATTAGACATAGTGTTATTGTTAATACTTGAGAAAGAATTGCTATTCAAGGAATGGTGCTGAGTTGATTTCGTATCCATTGGCAAAATAAATAAAATTAGATCATTATCTCAGAGCCTAAGGATGAATAAATTCAAGTTGGAGTAAATATGCATGAGAACTACATATAAATGTAAAAGAAAAATGTAGTGGTTTTTGACGGTTTCAATTGAGTTATAAAGAAGAATCTAAAACTAACAGAATAAAACAAAGAGAATTATACTGATAAACTTACTCAGTAATAACTCATTTTTTTTTTTTTGAAGATACCAAAAGCACAGTCAAAGCTAGAGACCTGGTTGTGATTTTATCTTTCTGTGTCTGTTTGTAGCACATTAGAAATTAGATCGCTATTTTATCATGAATTGCTCAGATTTATTTGGGAATCAGATTACAGAAAGTCCACAAAAGTTACGAAATTAAAAATATCACACAGAAAATAAAGCCAGCGATGCCTGGAGGTGGTCACGTTCATTACCAGCATTGGCCCCTGAGAGATTACCTTGCCAGTGGGAGGCAAAGAGAGCAGGCTCAAAGTTCTCATTATAGTGCATAAGTAGAGTCATTACTCATTACACAGCTATGTTCATTGTGGGGAAGTGACTCCAGGACCACCCCTTCCCTCTCTGGCAAGTTCAGCTTGCACTGTGGGGGAAGATGTGGGCATTAATGAGATGTTATATTCAGCAGGTCTGGGTGAAGGAAAGTTCATGTGAATGGAGAATTTTTACATTGCCTGCTAAAACTAAAAAAAAAAAAAAAATGGTACTGTGAAATATGCTGTTTTATATAAATATATACAGTAAAAATAAAAAACCTAAGAAAATTTTAAAAATAATTTTTAATTCTTTTAGTTACTGGGTACAGGTAGCAGGAAAATAACAAAAATGGGGTATAAACATCCCAACAACATTAAAACAAAAAACAAAAAAACAAGCAAAACAAAAAAAAGAAAGAAAAATGTAGATATGGGTGTGTCTGAATAATTGGTGACTACAAAAGTATAAATTCTAATTAATATGAGAAATTTACCAGAAAACATTAATAATATGGGCACTATAAAAAGTGGCATTCTTTGTGTGTTAGAGGAAAACATCTTGTCTTCCAATTACAATTCTTTATTCTTATCCCCAGCTTTGTATACGACCATCCTCTTTGGGCCCTCTTTCTCAGTTCCTCTACTCTCAGGGATCTACACACCACCCAACAAGCACAAGACCACGTATCAGTACCAAGATCGTCCCAAGATCATCCCAAGATCAAGTGTAAAAACCACAGTCATTAACAACCAGGACAGTATATCTCTACTAAAGCTAAACAACTCTACTACAGTAGGTATTGAGAAATGCAATATACCCAAGAGACATCACAAGGACTTCAATATAGCTGTCGTCCATATCTTCAAGATCCGTAAAGAAGACATAAATGAATCCACTATTGAAATCTATGGAAACACAAACAGTGGAGTGAAATTAAATAATCATAGACAGAAAGTGGATATAGAAATAATAATCATAACATAACATAACATAACATAACACCCAAACTGAAAAAAAAATGGAAATGAAGATTTTAGGAACTTGAACAGGAATCTCAGAGGAAAGCAGTGCCGGAATCCTTATGGAAAAAGAGGGAGATAGAAAGACCTGGAGGGGACAGGAACTCCACAAGGAGAGCAACAGAGCCAAAATACCTGGGCCCAGGGGGCCCTGCAGAGACTGATACTCTATCCAAGGACCATGCTGAAGAGGACCTAGACTCCCTGTTCAAAGAAAGTCCATAGGCTGCTCAGTTTCCAAGTGGTTTCCCTTATAATGGGTATAGGGGCTGTCTCTGACATGAAAACAGTGGCCAGCTCTTTGATCACCTCCCCCTGAGGGGTGCAGTCTTGCCAGGCCACTGAGGAAGATGATGTAGCCAGCCTTGATGAGACCTGATAGGGTAGGGTCAGACAGAAGGGGAGGAGGTGCTCCCTTATCAGGGGACTAGGGACAGGCATAGGGGGAGAAGAGGGAGAGTGGGTGGGACGAGGGACGAGGAGGAGAAGGAGGAGGGCGCTGCAGCAGGCATACAAAGTGAATACATTTTAATATACTAAAGCGCTCAGTCCCCATCCCGAAAGACAAAGAGGATGGACGTCAGAAGAAGGAGAAGACAGGAAACAACCTAGGAACCTGCCACAGAGGGCCTCTGAAAGGCTCTGCCCTGCAGACTATCAAAGCAGTTGCTGAGACTTATGGCCAACTGTTGGGCAGAGTGCATGGAAACTTATGTAAGAAGTGGAGGGGACAGGAACTCCACAAGGAGAGCAACAGAACCAGAAAATTTGAACACAGGGAACTTCCCAGAGACTCATACTCCAACCAAGGACTATTCATGGAGATAACCTAGAACTCCTGCACAGATGTAGCCCATGGCAGTTTAGTGTCTAAGTGGCTTACATAGTGATGGGAAGAGGGACTGCCTCTGACATAATCTGATTGGCCTGTTCTTTGATCACCTCCCCCTGAGGGGAAAGCAGCCTTACCAGGCCACAGAGGATGACAATGCAGCCACTCCTGATGAGAACTGATAGACTAAGATCAGAAGGAAGGAGAGGAGGACCTCCCCTATCAGTGGACTTGGGGAGGAGCATGCATGAATAAGGGGGAGGGAGGGTGGAGCTGGGAGGGGAGGAGGGAGGGGCATATGTGGGGATGCAAAGTGAATAAAGTGTAATTAAAAAAAAAATTAAACAAAAAACAGGCCACAGGGGAAGACAAAGAAGCCAGTCCTCATGAGACCTGATAGACTAAGGTCAGATGGAAGGGGAGGAGGACCTCCCTATCATTGGAATAGGGGAGGGGTATAGGAGAAGAAGAGGGAGGGAGAGGGGGATTGGGAGGGAATGGGGGAGGGGGCTAGAGCTGGGATACAAAGTGGATAAACTGTAATAAAAATAAAAATTAAAAATTAAAAATGTTTATAAAAAAAGAAATATATAAATAAATGTAAATTTAAAAAAAAAAGATGGAAAAGAGAATTTCAGGCATTGAAGACAAGATAAAAGAATACCTCAGTCAAAGAAAATGTTAAAGCTACAAAAAAATTCATGGCACAAAACATTTATGAAATCTGAGACACTATGAAAATACCAAATATATGAATAATAGTAATAGAGGAAGGAGAAGAAATCTGGGTCAAAAGCACAGAAAAATACTTTCAACAAAATCATAAAAGAAAATGTGCCTATACTAAAGAAGGAGGTGCCTATTAAGGTACAATAAAAATGTAGAACACCAAACATACTGTATTAGGAAAGAAATTCACAGTGGCACTTGATGAACAAAATGCTAAATGTGCAGGAC